ATAGGCTACAACAAGGTTTAATCTGGCCGCAGAGGAACACAACTGGGTTGCCTGATATAAAGAGACGTAATCCCCAAAACAGAGCTTTACACTTGCGCAGTACGGAAATATCTGCTAAGTGTGCTACTTATCCCTGTCAACCTGGCAACCATGTGCACACGCGCTCTCTCCACTGTGGATAAACGCGCTTGCTTTCTGAAAACAGCGGTTAGCTTGCAATTTAGCGATCTCCACTTCAATATTCTATTCTGAGAAAAGTGTAATTTATCAAGTGTTACATGAAACATATGCCATTACCGATATTGTACTGTGGTACAGTTATGGAGGCCCTTCATAATGCAGAGGTCAACTGCCTGCTCTGCCAATAGTTAGAAATGGCACTATAGTAAGCAGTGTTTAATAAACAGCCGGTTTTCTAAATTCTGCTGAGGTGAAATTCAGTGCAGTCATGTATCGTGATATGTATCGTATCGTGGTCTCTGTATCGTGATACGTATCGTATCGTGACTTTGCTGGTAATACACAGCCCTAGTAGTTACCTTATATTATTCAGCATTATTCACTTTCTTAGGCAAGTACACAGTAAGTACAAGTAAGTGTGTGTGCTGTAAAATAAAGTGCAACCAAAAAAATCTATACAAACTTCCTATTGTGTTGTCCAAGACATGACGGAATGCCAACAGAAGTCCATCTGCCAGTTTACAAAGACCCACAATTAAAACGTAATGAAGACAAAATACAAGAACCTGTCTATTCCGTTCTTTTGACTATCACAATGCCTTTGATCATTTTGATTTGGGGGCTTTTCTCAGTATACTTTCATGTTTTAAGATCATGTGGATGTCAAAGGTCTGACCTCAGGATGACACATTTGTGTTTGAACATCATCTTCCTCTGTAAACAAACTCCTAATGAAAGCTTTAAAAGAGGCACAGTGCTGATTCCAGTCTCTCCAGATGCACCTTTCCAAGATTTCACAGCTAATAATGCTGTTACAAATCACTTTTCACTGATGCCATACACATGTTTGGCACCATTAGCGCAGCCTTCCATTCAGTTAAACTCCTGACATGTTTACTTCTGCTCTGACACACATCCAGATGCTTTTCAGCTCCAGTCACACTTAAAAAAATGACAGACAAAAAAAATCCTTCCTTTTCCCCTCTAAAATCAATTAAGGAATAGTGGGAAGGAGGGTAGCATTAAAACCTTGGTTAATTACAAAGCTGGGTAAATACAGAAGATTTCTACAGCACACAAGAAGAGGTGACAGGAGGATGAGCTCAAGTGCACCCCAAGAGAGAAAGAGAAAGACTGGAAGAATCTAAACGCACGCACCTTTAGGAAATTTAATAGCCAAATAAAAAGTGCATTAAAGTCGCTGCAATAAATTACATAATTTTTCATGCAGTAAAAACAGTAATATTATACATTTATTGGAATTATAGTCAATACTTCGGTCTTCAGTGTCACATGATTCTTCAGTTATTATCAATTATTATTGGTGTTCAGTTATTAATGTTTCTTACTTTTGAATGGCTGTGAACCACCATTGTTTTTTTTATTTTACAAAAATATGAAGCCGCAAAAACTGTTTTCAGCACTGATAATAATAAAAATGGTTCTTAAACACCAAGGCAGCATATTAGAATGATTTCTGAAGGAACATGTGACAGTGAAGATTGGAGTAAAGCTGCTGAATATTAAATACTGGCATCACAAGAATAAACAAAATTCTTAAATATTTAAATAGAAAACAGCTCTTTTATATTGTAATAATATTTTACAATACTATTGTTTTACAGTATCTTTCTTCTTTCAAAAATATATAATTCTTAATTAGGGCTGCCGCGATTCGTCGATTCTATTCGATTTTTAAAAATCCTCGACTTCATTTTGCCTGCGTCGACTAACCGGCAAAATACCAGAAGTGGCGCATTTCACGGACAAGAATCCATAAAACACATTATTAGACTGTTTTCCAAGGCCTCATGATATATTAAACCCGCTTAAAAATTATAATTAAGCATAACTGTGAATTCACAAACGCTACGATTTAATTAAATTAATTAATTATGTGATGAAGTTATAGGCGTGTAGGTTACGTACGTGTGTCTCACAGCGGCTCCGTTCACAGTAAATGCTGTTCCACAGGAACTGTTATCATTTACATGTGTGGAGCGGCTCAAACTCCATCTCTGCATGTTGTTGTGAGTTTGGGTTTATTATAACGTTCATCTGGGAACGCAACGTGCGCCATTTCATCAGATTTGTAAGGTAAATCATTTATAAATCCACGCAAACACAGAAGAATACATCGCGGTTTCAAAATAAAAGCTCAAACCCTCACTTGTTTACACGTTTTGTTGTCCACATATTCTTTTAATTAGTGGCTATAGCATTTCTGTCCTAAAGAAATGGCCAAATATTAAAGATTAAGTGGACATTTGAATTAAATGATGCTTGGGCAATATTAAACAAGTATTAGATCGCACAGTAATGTGTAAAAACAATCGTCAGGCCGTTGGTGCCCCCTGCAGGCCTTTGTTGTAATGCGTAATGTACATTAGCTCTATTGTTTATAATACATTATGTATTTTAACAATTTTGTTCAATAAAACCATATGATTTCTTGCTTTTGATACTTTATTTGAACTAATTATTATTGCCTCATTGCTATTATATATGTATTTAAGTAATTTTAAAGGCTATTGTTCACTTACATCTATTTTTATTACCACAAAAAAAAAATTATTATAATTATAGGGCCCTATGAAATACGTTTTATTTCCAAATTCATTTTTTTCCATTTTCATTTTATGGTTAAATTAAATTGTATTAATCAAAATGCTTGTCTAATTAATTGAGTTTTGCAGTTTTATCTTTACCAAATTCTGTTTTCCATTATTTTCTGGATTCCATTAAATTTTAATAATCAAAAGCATCTCCAATTAATTGATTTTATTTTTTTCAGAAATACTGCACATTT